GCGCCCCGGGGACTCGAGAGGGCGGCGGGGGCGGGGCCCGGCGGCTCTGGCGGCCAGACGGCCCCTATATGGTCGGAGGCGTCTCCAAGGCCGCTCTCCGCTATTCTGGGCCCACCCGTCTGCGGCTCACATCCCTGACTCCGCGGCGGCGTGGGGCCGTGCGCGACCCGGGGCTGTGCGCGACCCGGGCCTCCTGCCGCCTGCCGAGCTCCTCCGCGGTCTCCGCCTCCGCTGTCTGGACCAGATCAGGCTCCGCTCAGACCTCCGGAAGGGCCCACGGTTGTAAAGTTCCTTCTGCTGCAAAGTCGTCGAGTATCTCTTAGGGGAGACACAGACTCTACGAGAGCAGGAGGGTTTTCATCGGTCCTTCCGTGTGCCACTCGAAGGCACTGTTAGGCGCCCTTCCTTAGTCCTGAGTTCATGAGAGTGAACACTAATAACTAGCCTTTACATTGCGCTGTGCCGGGCTCATTATCAAGTGCTCTCCACGTGGTGCCTCGGGTAGCATCCTGCAAGACTTAAGGGAGGCGTCTAGTACAGATCCCTGTTGCTGTGTGCCAGCGTGCCCGCGCCCTGCATCGCCCAGCACAGTGCCCTGCTAGTTGTAGGCCTGCCAACAGAAGTTTCTATTTAAATGGCTCCTAACGTCTGCAGGGACAGCTCAGTGAGAGACCGGCCTGTGCTTGTACATTGTGAGAAAATTCTTCCGAAGAGACAGACATCCGCCTTCCGATCATTTTTACTGTGAGTCCAGATTTCCTGAAGTGTATCCTTCGCTTTGTCTGCCTTATCCCCTAAGAGCCACCTCCCACCTTAACACTCCCAGCAACAAACATTACCCTTCCCACCTTCAAAGTGTGCCAGGCTCCCTCCCCCGCGTCGGGCTTGGCTGCTCCAATCACTGCGCCGCGCCCTAGACAGTGAAACTGTTTTGTCCTTCAAACACAACTTTCACCAGGCCTCCCTCCCTCCCCGCAGGGCCGCTCTAAATGACTTCCTTTTGCCTGGGTTGTGATTAGCTATCTCCGTAGGACCTTAAAGTCACATTCTTAGACTTGCACCCCAGGTGAGGGTACGAGTGAGAAGGGGGTGTCACCTCGCCTGCCTTCAGATCCTTCTCACAGAACCCTTTTCCTTCTCTAGGCTTTTCCTCCCCCCTTTTTTTTCCAGCTCTGTTTTCCCCTCTGAACTTGTCCACCGGCAGTCTTACATGGTCACCTAACTTGTGTATATTTGCCTTTTTCAGACTGTGGTTCTGTGTAAGGAAGTTACATGATTCGTCCTGCGTTATTTTGCGTCTTTCACATGGTTAAACTCCTACAGTTAACACTTAACCACACAAGGGTGCAGTGAGTGTGTGTGTGTTGGGACACCCCACCCCCCACCCCCTGTGCAGTCTAAAATCTGAGTGTAAGTTTTGACTCCTCCAGAACTTAATAGCCTGCTGGTAGAGGGTGGGGGTGGAGTGGAAAGACCACCCCCTTGAGTCCCTCTGCCCACCCAGTAGCCCCTTCCCAGCCACAACCAAGACAGCAATCCCTGAAGATCCAGTTCACTGTCTCTTTGCGGGAGCAGACCTGGACCTCGAGGCTGCGGAGCAGAGGAGGAGAGGCCCTGCCCCACCGCGCCACCCTTGGGCTGACCTGTAACCCGACATGCCCAGAAACTGATGAAGGCCAGATCCTAGCCCACTTCATTTTCACTTTTTCAGGTCCCAGAGGGCCAAGTTCTCACCAGCGAACAAGAAAGCACCTCTCCCAATGGGGTGCAATCACTTGCAAACCCCCTTCCTCCATCGCTCCTTCCCCTTAGTTAGGGCCCAGAGCACAGAGGTACACATGCCAGTTCGAGTCCTCAGGTTGCCAGGTGTGGGATTCGAACCATTTGACTGCATGGTATCTGGCTCCCCATGCACAGCACTCAACAGCTGCCCCATCATACCCCCACCACCCAAGTCACCTCGGCAGTGTCTTCAGGGCAAGAGAAGAAGACGACAAGGACTACCCTCTGTGAGAGCCCAGAAGATAGCCTAGCATCACCTGGGGCAACAGCAGGGGAGGAGCTGGAGAGAGGCTGCCAGGGCACAAGGCCCACGCTCAGAGGTGGAGGCAAAACTGGGCACCTCTGGGACAGTGCAGAAGGCTGCAGGTCATCCCTACAGTGAGACAGGAGCAGTGAGGAGCCAGCAGATACCACACTGGGTTCCAGGGCGCTAACTAGGTCTGGGAGAAAAAGAGGCACCCAGCAATCCAGACTGGGTTGTTTATTTCCTCACTTGGGTGGGAAACCTCTCTTTTTGGGTGTGTGTGTTTTGTTTTTTGCTCTTTCTTTTTTTTTTTTTTTTGAGACAGAAAGCGAGAAATCACCCCCCAGGGGGATGGCCACGCCACAATCCCCTCTCCTCCATTCTCCTCTCCGGATCTTGGGCACACACGCACACGTGCCTGGCGTGAGTTTTAAGCCACCAGGTCCGGGAACCCGAACTGCGGTTGCCTATGTGAGAGTCCAGCGACATAGCCATTACACTAACTGCTGGTTCCCTGTTTTGTTTTTTGATATAAGGAATGTGTGCTTGCCAGAAAGAGAATGGAGAGACAGAGAGTTAAAGAGAGGGAGAAAGTGAGAACTCACCCCCTAAGGGGATGGCCATGCTGTAGTCCCCTCTCCATTCTCTCAGGATCTTAGGCACTCATGTCCAGCGTGCCTTTCAAATCCTGCTAAGTCTAGGACTTGAACTACACAGCAGGCCATGTGTGGTCCAGCGGTCTTAACCTCACCACCTGCTGCCTCCTTTTTTTTTTTTTTTTTTTTTTTAGTTGATTTACTTTTTTTTGCTATAGGGTACATATACTTGCTGGAAAGACAGAGTGAGACAGAGACAGAAAGTGAGAAATCACCCTCCAAGGAGGGATAGCCACACTGCAGTCCTTTCTTCTCCATTCTCCTCTTGAGATTTGGGGCATTCATGCACATGTGCCTAGCGAAGGTTTTCAGATCCAGGACTCGAACCACAGTTGACCATGTGGGTGGGAAGCCAGCGCCTTAACCACTACGCCATCTGCTGGCTCCATCCCTCCTTTACTAATTTACTAGAAGGCATGTGCACTGGCAAGAGAGAGACAGAGAGAAGGAATGCAAAAGAGTCCCCCCTGCGGGGCATGGTCACGCTGCAAGCCCCTCTTCTCCATCTCTCCCTGTTTTCAGGATTTGGGGCACGTTTCGCGCACATGCCCAGCATGTTTACTTTCTTTTTCGGGGGCGCGGGGGAGAGGTTTGTGCTATAGGGCATGTGCGCCTGCGAGAAAGACAGAGACAGAGAGACAGAAAGCAAGAAGGAGGGGATAGCCACGCCGCAGTCCCTTCTCCATTCTCCTCTCGGGATCTTGGCACGCACACACACGTGCCCAGCATGAGTTCAAGTCACCGGGTCTGGGACTCAAACTGCGGTCGACTACATGGGAGTCCAGCCATTATATGGCCATTACATTAACTGCTGGTTCCCCCCCCCCTTTTTTTTTTTTTTTTTTTTTTTCTTTTTTTTTT